GCATTCCTGCACCAAAGCGTCCACATTATGAAGATGTATTCTATGTAAACAAGACGAGTAAGTCCTCGCAGTCGACAAAAGGGGGAAGCGGTGCTTCACCCAACAAAAGTGGTGAATATGGCTCTGGCTGGAAAGGAGTTCGGGAGGTACGGAGGCGTGGACCTGCAAAGATCATGAGGGATATGCACGGCTATGGTGTTCCTGCGTATGGCACGATGGATGGTGGGTATGGTTATGGCTATGGTTATGACTATGGCCATGGCTATGGCTATGATCCCAGGGTGGGCTATGGTGTGCCAAGCTATGGTCAGGCAATGTATCCACAGCCTCAAATGCCATACCCTTCCACTTACGTGTCCACCATGGATCCACATGTACTCCAATCCATGCTCCTCCACATGCCTAACTTGAATCAACTTCTCATGCATGTAGATGCAATGCTTCTTCAATCAGCTTTGATGCGAGTACCAGGTTACGGTGCTTACGCCTCCAGTATGGACGCATATACATTGCAATCAGTGGTAGCAGGACTTCCATACGTGAGAGATATCGTGGCGAGTATGGATGTAAGACTGCTCCAACAGATGGTCGCATATGTACCCAACATTGATGCCATACTGTCCAGTGTCAATCTAGACATCAGTCAAACTACAACGCCCAATGAGCCCAGCAAGGCACCTGTAGCGAAGAAGTCTGATGCTAAGACGTCTCAACGTGCCACTGACATGCCTGATGCGGCAAACATGACAGATGCTGAGGTCACGCAACTCATTATATCGACTGTACCCAGTATTCCTCCTCAGTACGCCAATGTCCTCTTCAACAAGGAACCGCGCTTCGTTCAGTACATAATCGAGAACCATCAGAATCTCCCAGGTCTTCTGGCCAACATGAATGCCCAAACACTTCAGTACGTGGCAGCGCAAGTTCCTACGTTTGGCAAAATCATCTCCAACTTGAGTCGCAACACATTGGAAGTGGTTTTCGACAAACTGCCCAACACTGCCAAATGCTTGGCAGACATGGAACCCGAGGTAGTGCGAGCTATCGTAGCGAAATTGCCCTCTCTTGCTCAATACGCACCCACTGAACCGTCCACCACTGCTGCGCCAACGACT